GGACAGGCGTGTCGCTTAACAACAGGCGCACGACTTATTCGTCCCATTACTTGGTATTATAAAAATAAGCCGCATTACCACATAGAGAATGGGTGCGCGTCAGGCGCGTGTCGGGTCGTTTCGGAATTACACCCGCCGTGCCCCCGACCCGACACGCGCCCGACCCGCTCCCTCAGTCAGTGTGTTTCACGCTTTAGCTTTTCTTAATAATAATAATTCGTTTATTTGGTGGCGTACAAATATTGAAGATATATTAAAATTCACTCACATGACTTCGACAGACTAAACCAGGTGTAACATGTTTCTTTTTAAATAACATTACATGGGCGTGCACACATGGGTTTAATAAGTAGTTTAAAGAAGAATCAACATACTTGTAGTTGTGTAGCGCGGAGTATGGTGCGACGACGGGAACTGCGAACAGCAGCTCGTCTTCAGGAAGAGGACATCCCGTAAGCTGGCACAGCATTTCAGTGTCTGCATCGGGACCTTGCGCTTCCATCTGGCCAGATACAGATTTATTACAGGTTTAGCGTACAAGATTTTGATATATCTGTCTACCCTCTTTCGCTGTCGACGACTACCATCATCTCGATTACATGTGGCGTTACCATATGTCCGAAAAAAGTGAATGACAATATAAAAGACATACAATATGTTACCATGTCTTTTCTTAAAGCTGTATCAATATCTTAGAGGATGGAAAAATATCAATATGATATTTATAATATTAGGGTTTAAAGCATGAAATTGCCGTTTTATTGCAATAGGTTCTTTGAATTTTCATAGAATCTTCATGGTTTAAGGTTTTCGAATGAAACTTTTTTCAAATGGTTTCTGTGATTTTTTTTTTTAAATTTGAAACATTTGAATATCGACTTTCAATTGTTTTTGTTATTCAATTTAGACAAGAAAGATGGATACTGCGAAAATTCGAGTGATTTTTGAATACGAGTTCCGACGCGGAACTAACGCGGCAGAAACAGCCCGCAATATCAATGCTGCGTTTGGAGAGGGGTCTACTAATGAACGCACCGTGCGATTTTGGTTTAAACGCTTTCGTGATGGAAATTTCGACTTAAAGAACGAGTCACGAGGAAGACCGCCCACACAGGTGAATAACGATGAATTAAGAGAGATAGTGGAAGCCGATCCTAGTCAAACTACCCAGGAATTAGCGGCATGGTTTAACGTTACCTTACCCACAATATTGACTCACTTGCGTCAAATCAATAAAATAAAAAAATACGAAAAATGGGTGCCTCATGATTTGACTGATCTGCAGAAAGAAACGCGTGTTGAAACTTGTGTTGCCTTGTTGAACCGGTACAGAAATGAAGGAATATTGGATCGAATTGTAACATGTGATGAAAAGTGGATTCTTTATGATAACCGGAAAAGAAAAATGCAATGGCTGACCCCAGGTCAAATGCCACAACAATGTCCTAAAGCAAAACTTACCAATAAAAAGGTAATGGTAACTGTTTGGTGGTCTCAGCATGGTGTTATTCACTATAGTTTTTTCCGATCTGGTCAAGCAATAACGGCAGATGTCTATTGTGCCGAACTCCGAACCATGTTGACAAAACTAGCAGTAAAACAGCCCCGACTCATGAATCGATCTTCACCATTATTGCTCCACGACAACGCGAGACCTCACACAGCACGAGAAACCATTTTGACCCTTCAGGAACTGCAGTTAGAAACCATTCGTCATCCTCCGTATTCACCAGACCTTGCTCCAACGGACTACCATTTTTTTCGTGATTTGGACAATTATCTACGTGACAAGAAGTTTTCTTCCCAGGAGGCAGTACAAAATGCTTTCACACAGTTTGTGCAGTCTAGATCGTCGGAGTTCTATCGCAAAGGCACTAATAACCTTCCCATTAGATGGCAGCAATGTATAGATAATAATGGCAACTATTTTGATGAAATAAATTTGTTAAAAATTTAAAAAATAAACAATTTAGATTTTCAGTACAATTCGGCAATTTCATACTTTAACCCCTATTATTTATCGACAATATTATTATATATATAATATTTATCGACTGCAATCACTAGCTGCTCCTAAGCGGGCAACACTTTTGCACAATGAACTGTAATTTTACTCAAATACACTGTCTTCAAAAAGGACAGACTATAGACATCTCGAATTCGCAGTCGTTCAGCTATTGACCGCTAGATGGCATCATATAATCGAGATGAAGGTCTTCTTTTTTTTCTTTAAAGTGGTATAGCTCCATCGACACAATCGATGGTATCGGCATTCACAAGTTAAGAAAGACACGTGTTTATTACTCAAAATTTGACCAGTAAATTTCTATAAACTTCGCTAAGTGGAGAATCTACTACAACATCTCGTTGTCGATAGCGAAAAGGCGTAGACAGATTTGTTTGTTTTAAAGCTGTCATCTGCCGCTGGCCAATTAATTAGTGTATTTATGTTCTATGCCAGTCAACCCATGACATGACCATGGAGCGCGTAAATATCGGGAAAGTAAAAAGAAATCATATCGTGGTAAGTACTGTAATTAGTGATAACGAATGTTTTCTGGTGTTTGTTCATACCTCAAAAAAGGGAAAAGCGATACTAGATAAAACCACAATTATAGCAACAAAGGGAATGTTATGTAGTACAAGATAACTATGCAACAAATCATATCCATTTAGCTAAGCCAAAGTACCTGCTACGTGTGATCCTACGAACAGTAAAAAAAGTAAAGAACTTGTTTTTCCAAATTTTATTGAATTGATACTCAATTATTTTTTGTGAAATCACTCCACTAGTTTGTTATAATTATTAATACAAAGATCGAACACTCAGAAAAAATTCCTTCGATCCGGTCGGATTCGAACCGACGTCTTCTAGCATATCGTGGCAGACGCTATACCAACTAAGCCACGGAACAAACCAGACTTTTTAGCCGGAGCGCCATCTATAAGAAATCTATGATATTTCGTCACCCAGTTAGATAGATACCTTTACAGCTATCAACCCCGGCTAGAGATGTCGCTATTCTTTGTATTTTAAATTTTTATTGAATTGATATTCTATTATTTTTATGTTAAATTACTCTACTAGTTTGTTATAATTATTAAAGCACTTGTTGTCGTAATTTCTTTTTATAAATTTCCAAACAGCCTTTTCATATATTAGTGTCTTTCCTTGTTTTGATGCAAAAGGCGACAAGCGCTTTGATGTAACTATAATTTCATTCTGATTGAGGTACTATTTTTTTAAACACAGGTACTAAATAGTACAACTGAGGTACATCTTTTTGATACTAAATTTGTCAAAGGAGTACTCCCTGGAGTGGAGTTTACAAAGGAGTACTCCCTGGCCGCGCCACATACCTAAAGGTTTAGGATATTAAACAAACCGACAGTTTAATGAGAGAAATAAATATATTAATGGGAGGTAGAGTAATGGTACTTATTTTAAATATATTTACGCATAATTAAAATTAACTATCACCAAGTCCACTCGCTGCAGAGTACATTCCCCAGCCGGACTACAACCTACATCTAATAACTTCTAAACTAATGTAATGACATATGTATATATACAATAAATGTATTATCACTACACTTGCAAAATGAAATGTAGCCTTTAGGCACTTTTTTTGGGAATATTGCTTTCTTGAAAGTGTATCACGTTTTTCTAGATCCAAGGTGAGAGTACTACTTTGCGGCCGGACTACTTACGTCGTTAAATATTTCGTAATCTATCGAGGTACTATGAATTTTGTTGTATGTCTAGGAAAGTAGACTTTAGGTATCTATTACTTTGTACAACTGCATCCTAGTACTTATTAGTGGTCCGGCCAAAGAGGATCACACCCTGCTAAGTACATACCTCCTGATCAGGTTCGACTTCCTCCTCAGACTCTGCTTCAAGGATAAGAGGCGCGGGCTGAGGGATCTTGGGCATCTTTTGATTGCCTTTGCTCTTGGTGCCTTTGCCAGCGTTCTTTTTGAGAGCTTTCTTTTCTTCATTCAGTGCTTGTGCTGACTGTGGACAACATATTCCTATTTTATTTATTTATAATCAGGATACATAGACCCATAAATACATATATTATATACTAACATACATAACAATATAAGCTCTAATTATTAATTATTTACACGTATTGTCTACGACGTGTGACGCAACGTGGGTATCCGGTAAGGTCGACAGATGTTGAGTTGGTGCCGTCACCACAAATGAAATGGAATTGACATTTTTTACGTTTAAACTAGGTTTAGATAAATCTCCAAGCGGTGATATTTAGTTCCAATCCCGGTGAACACATCACGCACTCAGCATGTGATTTTTTTTATTAATACCAAGTGGCGAGGCGAACAAGTCGTGCGCCTGGTGGTAAGCGACACGCCTATCCATAACAGTTGCAGTGCCATTTAGAGCTTTAAATCGCAAAGATCAGAGGGGCATTACCACTGCGACCGTCACCCTGAGACATAAGTTGACAAGTCCCATGTGCCTGTTATTTCACCGGCACCCTTACCCTTCTAAACCGGAACGCAGTAATGCTCACATTACTGCTTGGCTGCAGAAATAGGTAAGGTGGCAGTACTTCCCTGGACGTACTCTTTTATAAGGAGCACTACTGCTACTAACATTGACTTACAATTATATGGACGTCGGGTCCGCGGTAAAAAGTGTCCGAACTTATAGGGCGTTAAAATCGTATACAGAGCGTCATTCACGCTTTAGTCTTCGTTTGTTCGACTGACAGCGAAGCAAGCAAAATTAGACAGTACTGCGATGAGATTACAATTTAAAAGCTTTTTCATATTGCTTTACATGTCACTACGTTTAAATAGGTTAACTTGGGACATTTTTTTCGTGGTTTTTGTATTAGACCCGTCGTCCATTATTTGTACGTCAATGGCTACTGACTACTTATTGAGGGATGTACTGCGGTAAGGGCTTCCGAGTTTCTTTTTCCAATAAATCCAAGATTAATAATTTGAATATGATAATTAGTATGAAGAACAAACCAGTATGAAGTCCATCATAACACTGGTTAATAAGTTAATGTAAACCCTGAAATGGTATCATTAGAGTCGACTTTTGATATCAATATCAGGTTCTCTGTTGGAGGATATTATTTGTTTTTTCACCGACTTGAAAAAAAAGGCGGAGGTTCTCGATTCAAAAGTATTTTTTTTGTGTGTACTGTAAAGTGTAAGTGTAAACTGATTTCAATTATTCTTTTCTTTGGAAAGAGAGTAGGTACTTGTGAGATAGAGTGGTCTCATGTTTAGAGCAAATATTCCGCCTCGAAGGCTGGCAAATTAGAGAATGAATCGTTTATTCAACCACTTTCCATTCTACGAACAGGAATAGCCGTTTCAAGAATAGGTCATTCGAACGAACAGGACATTTTTTAAAGAGTAAGCCGTTTTGCGAATAGGTCCTATATCGATTAATAAAAAAAGGCTTAAAAACATTGACTTACAATTATATGGACGTCGGGTCCGCGCTAAAAAGTGTCCGAACTTATAGGGCGTTAAAATCGTATACAGAGCGTCATTCACGCTTTAGTCTTCGTTTGTTCGACTGACAGCGAAGCAAGCAAAATTAGACAGCACTGCGATGACATTACAATTTAAATTCAACGTTTTAGCTTTTTTATGTTCCTTTACATGTCACTACGTTTAAATAGGGTGACTTGGGACATTTTTTTCGTGGTTTTTGTATTAGACCCGTCGTCCATATAATTGTAAGTCAATGCTTAAAAAGTTATAATTATTTAATACTGCACTGCCAAGGGTTAATTCAAACTTGTAGCTTTTACATTGCAGTGAAAACATTGATGATTATTACCTTCAGCAACTCCAACCTTTGCAGCCGGTCTTCTTCGTCTTGGTCCTTGTACTTCTCCTTAATCTTCTTCATTTTCCCCTTCTGTCCTCTTTTGCTCAGCGGCTCCTTTTTTTCTTCCTGCTTCTTTTCGTTTTTGTTCGGTTTCTTGCCTCCTTTTTTTGGGAGAGACGGGAATGAAGGCATTATGTCGTCACTCCTGTCTGACATTTCAGAAATTGTACGCGTTTTGGACTCCATTGTCACCTGTCCGGTGCCGTGGTCAACCTGAACAATTATGATAATTATAATTATTAAGGGAGGCTTATGTCCAACAGTGGATGCGTGTAAGGTGAATCACCATCACCTATGCACCTATCATGCACATATCACCTAGCACGATGATGGTAATTATTTAAATAATTACAAAGATGGAACACTAAAAAAAAAACTCTTCGATTTGATCCGTTGGTATTCGGCGATATTCAACAGCAAGTTGATTGAAAAAAGAATCCTACCAAGTAGAAGTGGTCAATTGTTGTTATGTGAAACAATAATAAAAAAAAAGTATTTCATTAATTGAAATGAATAGACAAGCTATTTGACACCGCCGTAAAGTTTATCTGCTTATCGGTTTTCTACAGTATATATCACGGAGAGTGTGCGAGGGAATTGCACTACTTAATTCCGCCTTCCCCTTAACATCATCGAGGGACTAGGCGTAGGCTGGGGGTTCCACCCCTAAGGCTTCCCACGAAGCGTTTAGAATAGAATAGAAACCATTTATTACATAACGCCACAACACAATAATACACAGTAAGAAATAAAAAAAAGATAAAGCTAAATTAAAACAAACATAAAATAGAATAAAAAAAATCTTGTAATGAAATTACCACAAAGATAGTCAACATTATTGTGTACTGAGTAGATGTCATGTGTGCGGCTGTGGTGTATGTAAAAGGATCCACTTAGCTAATGTCACCACCGGGAAAAGGCTGTGACGCTTATTTTTAGTGGACCCTAAGTGTTTACCCTAAGTGGTTTCGCTTTCACATTTATATATGGCGAACGGATATGGAGTGGAATTCCCTGCCTGCAGACTTGTTTAACTGCCTCCGTGGCCGAACGGTTACCATACCGGACTGCTACGCAGAGGTCCCCGGCTTCGATTCCCGGGCCGGGATAAATATTTGTATGGCCTACATTTATTTCTCTCGTGAGTTTGGGTGTAATTTGTGGTTGTCTATGTGTGTGTCCATGGCACCCGCGACACAGGGTTTCCCTAGTGTGGGGCTATGTTGAGTGTGTGCGTCAATATTTATTTATTTATTATTGTTCCCTAAACTGTATAACTTGGCTTGTATAAAGGCGAGAGTGAATAGGCATTATTTAGGTGTGCACACTCCATCGTCGACTTTCGATCAGGTGAGATGAAAGTATTATAATAAGTATTATTGGATTATTTTTTAATAATAGAAAACACTTTTCTTAATCAAGAATTACAAGCCATCAACTGGCGAGAGATTGCACAAGACCGAAGAAAGTGGCGTCATCTCGTTTCGGGGGCCGCGACACATTTTGTGTCTCTGAGCCAGCGGAGTAAGTAAGTAAGTTAATCAACTTGTTAATGAATATCGTCAGAAAAATCTTGTTGAAATTATCCCGAGTGCAGCACGACATAACTGACACGTAAAATGCCACTCTCCCCGCACCGCCAGCTACCTCAGGAACTGACTCAGTTAAGCTGAAGATCAAGATTCTATATCTACAGTCATAGACTCTGTGTTTGATTGTTGCATTGGATAAATACAAAACACAATTTTCTAAAATAAACCTAGATAGATTAGAATAAAGGGTTATTTTTAACATACTAACAACCTCAACCTCCCAGGAATAGATTATAACATCATAACAACATTTGTTCATTGACTTACAAATAAATGGACGACGGGTCTAATACAAAAACCACGAAAAAAATGTCCCAAGTAAACCTATTTAAACGTAAACATGACATGAGACATGTAAAGGAATATGAAAAAGCTAAAACGTTGAATTTAAATTGTAATGTCATCGCAGTACTGTCTAATTTTGCTTGCTTCGCTGTCAGTCGAACAAACGAAGACTACAGCGTGAATGACGCTCTGTATACGATTTTAACGCCCTATAAGTTCGGACACTTTTTAGCGCGGACCCGACGTCCATATAATTGTAAGTCAATGCATTTGTTCCATGAATTTTAATAACTTATCAGATTTTACTTTCATATAAAAATAAATAGATTTAAATAGATCGCTCTAAACGGTAATGACTCTGTGCAGGACGGGGGTGGATGTCGTCGGGGAGGACTCTTGCACGGTTGAACTTATTCTAGCAAATGCAGATCTAGTACAACAAAAATTTTAAAAAATATTCCATTTTTATTGAATGTCAGAAAGTTTCACCACCGAGTATATAATCGATCAAGTATATAACTAGAAAAAGAGACGAAATAAGGGCCATCGATCCCTGGCACCTCATCAGGCAAATGGGCCTTATACGACTTTTAAATATCAACTCTCATTTGCGCTGAAATCATAAATTAGAAAGCTGAAATAGTGCAGCGTCAACGACTGACCTGTGTGCACATCTCCGTTTTTTTTTTTTAAATATATAATAGACACACGCTTGGCCACAATCTCACCTGATGTTAAGCGACGATGTGACCGACGATGGGACGCGTTTGCCTAAAAAATGCCTATTCACTCTAGCCTTGAATAGCCCCAAATTGTACTTTTCGGGAAATACGATGCCGGTAGAGCATTCCATTCCTTTGCCGTACGCATCAGAAAGGAGGAAGCAAAGCGCTTAGTGCGAATAGGTGGAATATCAACGACATAAGAATGGAGTGCTCCGGACCTTCTAGTCGACCGAAGGAGGAACGGTGAGGGCGGAACCAAATTGAAAAGTTCCTGCGCACACTCCCCGAAATGTATCCGATAGAAAACCGACAAGCAGGCTACTTTTCTGCGATGATCGAGATTTTGGAGCTCCGTATCTTCCAAAAATATAGTATTTGTTGTAATAAAGATAATATCTGTAACAATGGGTGGCTGTTCCGTTCGGTGGTGTGGGAAAAACAACAAAACATCTAATTACAAAACAAATGGAATCACATTTCATTGATAATTAAATATTTAATATTTCAATTTTTGTAAATTATAGCAAAGCTAGTTAAATTGGTCGGCTTGAAGTGAAACAATTGACGACACCCGTAAATTGTTTCGAGGGCTGGCCAATCGGAGCGCAGTTACCATCGTAATGATATGGCAGAATAGTTTTCAAACAAATTAAATGTCATTTCGTCTCTACTTCCGGTTATATACTTGATGCTGTTTTTTTGCCTCGATTTTTTGTGAATTCCTCCACTAGCATGTTATAATTATTCACACACTCAACACACTCAACATAGCACCGCACTAGGGGAACCCTGTGTCGCGGGTGCCATGGACACGCACATAGACAACCACAAATTACACCCAAACTCACGAGAGAAATAAATGTACGCCATACAACTATTTCTCCCGGCCCGGGAATCGAACCTGGGACCTCTGCGTGGCAGTCCGGCATGGTAACCGTTCGGCCACGGAGGCAGTTAAATTATTAATAGAAAGATCGAACACTCGATCCGGCAGTTAAAAGCTTATTTTTGATAAATTTATTATGTTTCGTAAAAAGTCGTAGAACAAAATTGTTGTTTAAGATGTTAGTAACATGGTCCTGTGAGGTTGCTAGTATTTTCAAAATAACCCTGTATATATAAGAGTTATTGTACAATAATAAAAGATAGATGGATAGTGACGACTGTAATGTAAACCGCGAAAAGCCAAGAATAAAAAGAAATATATATACCTTAATATGTGTGTCAGGAAAAAATTCCGACGAACTATCTTCGCTTTCCGACAGACTTTCCTCTTCAATCTTAGCCGTCTCGTCGTCATTACCTTCTTCATCATCCTGTTGATCAGTGATCTCTGTTTCTGTTCTGTTCCCTTCTTTGGTATCCTTGTTTTCCGATTCTGTTTTGTGGTTTTTCTGTTCTTTGTTATCGGTGGTATTTGATTCCTCTGTTATCGTGTCTAGTTTGTCTGTTTTTGTGTCTTCTTTGTCTGATTGTTCATCTGAATTAAAAAAAAAAGAATAATAACGCACACGCTCAACATAACCCCGCATTAGAGAAACCCTATATCGCGGGTGCCATGCACACACATAGACAACCACAAATATTTCTCCCGGCCCGGGAATCGAACCTGTGACCTCTGCGTGATAGTCCGGCATGGTAACCGTTCGGCCACAGAGGCAGTTATAATATGACAACTTTGACACTTGTCATTCACGAGGTTTAAAAATATAGTGAAACAAAAACTTTATGCTAAAAATGATTTATTATACAGCTTCCGAGTATTTGGATAACAAAGATCCGTGATAGTTTAGCTCTTGCAGGTAGTCTCGACCTGAGACGTTTGAAATAAATATTGTAAATGGTAAATGTGTACAAATGTTTATTTACAAAGAACAACACCTCGAGTTTCTTGCTCATTCTTGCTCAAGAGAATTTGCCTTGAGAATGAGCAGCAGAGTTTAATCAATACGACTATTTCAAGTGTGCTTTTTTTTGCTTACTTATGAAATAAAGATTATTAAATAAATATATTTGAAATAAAGATTCTGAATATATTTGACACACGTTTCGTCTGTCTACGAGGCATTATCAAGAGATGTTGCGACTCTCGGTCAAAGAATCATATACCAAGGATTCGTCAAGGGTCCCGGCTGCTAGGGTAAGGTAGGGTATTTACCGTCATCGGAAACAATAATCTCCTGCTCGTCCTCTTGAACAGAAGTGACGTCCGAGGCGTCGTCAGCCACGATGGCCTTACGTTCGTCGCGGTGCCGTTCGATACAACTGTCCTCCAGCTGTCGACATATTATTATTTATTTATAATACCAAGTGGCGAGGCGAACAAGTCGTGCGCCTGGTGTTAAGCGACACGCCTGTCCATAACAGTTGCGGTGTCATTCGTAACTTTAAATCGCAAATATCTTAAGGGCGTTGCCACTGCGCCCGTCACCCTGAGACAAAAGTTGTCAAGTCCCATGTGCTTGTAATTTGACCAGCACCCTTACTCCAAACCGGAACGCAGTAATGCTCACATTACTGCTTGGCGGCAGAAATAGGAAAGTAAGGTGGCAGTACTTCCCTGGACGAAAATTTTCACAAGTAGCTCTACTGCTACTATAGTGTACAAATTGATAAGGAAGCATTCGTTATGTATCCAGATTTGCGAACAACTATAACATCAGGTCAATGCACTTGCGAAACGGAAGCTTGCGCCCCGTGCATTAGGGCTTGCGTAACAAGTAGTTGCTAGAATTAGGAACTCATACTGCGGTAAGAACTTTCTAAATCCTTGAAAGTGTCTAAAAAGAAGAAAGAATGAAAATTTTATTTGGTAACCTTATGACAAAATATATATGACAGAGTGATAACAAAAAATAAAATACCCTTAGTATAAAATACAAAATAAAAGAATCACATTTAAAAGTTACCAAAATGATCTCCACTCAGTTTTTTGTAGCAAGACGTGTGAAACCACCTCGTTACGGTGGTTTTCAGTGAAGCCGAATAAATAATAAGGATGATGTCGCTTCGGCCAAGTAAATAAAATTAAAAAAAAAAAACAATAGACTCCTAGACTCCACTTATAGGAGTCACTGCATTTAAATATCTGGGGCACTGGGTCTCTGAACCTTTAAAAGACGATTTAGAGATAGAAAGGGAGCGTAGGGCGCTGGCATTAAGAGGCAACATGTTGGCCCGTAGGTTCGCGAGGTGTAGTGATGATGTAAAGATTGTACTATTCAAGGCATATTGCCAGTCTTTTTATACTTGCAGTCTCTGGGTCAACTTAACCGTACAATCTCTTAACGCCCTACGAATTTTGTACAATAACACATTCAGGATGTTGTTGAAGCTGCCACGATTTTGCAGTGCATCGGGAATGTTCGCCATAGCTAAGGTCGATGGCTTTGCAGCTATCATGCGAAAAAGGCTTCACTGGTGCATAGTGTTCGTGGCAGCGACAACAGCCTTCTGAATATAATTGCAAACAGGGTTCAGGGTTCTTTTCATGAGCACTGGTCCCGGTTGCATATTAGTTTTAGAAAAAATTACTAGTACTATAATTAGTAGTACTAACTCTATTTATAAGTGCTTTGTTACTAACTTCTGTGGATGAATATTCCGAAATAAAGATATATGAATTTGAATTTAACAAGGCGTAAATCAAAATTAAATGCAAATCAAAATAAAAAAAGTAAAAATGCAAGCAGTAAAACTGGGTGTACGTATAGAATAGGTATACAAAACTGATTGTGCGTGTTTTGTGTTCTCACATATTTGTGGTAGGGATATTTAGAACCAGTATAGCCCCATGTGAAAGAGTTCGTCCAGGGAAGTACCGCCAAGCAGTAATGTTAGCATTACTGCGTTCCGGTCTCGCAGGGTAAGGGTGTTGGTGAAATTACAGGCACATGAGACTTGTCAACTTATGTCTCAAGGTGATCCCCCTCAGATCTTTGCGATTTAAAGCTCTGAGTGGCACTGCACCTGTTATGGACAGGCATGTAGCTAACCATCAGACGCACGACTTGTTCGTCCCGTCACTTGATGTTATTATTTATAAAAAAAAATCAAAGAAAATATTAATGTCTGTAGTAAAATGGCATGAAGGCACAGCACGACTGCCAGTGCTGTTAGACACCTGAGTAAATAATACAAATTTCTTTAATGAAGATTTGAAGAAGGCAACAAATAGTTTAGCTCATAATAAAAATGTTTAAAAATGAACTTAGTAAACATCTGTCTCAAAAATGCTACTATTCATTGCAAGATTTTTTTAATGACAAGGAAAATTGTTCATAACGTCATAAAAAAGGAATTTTGATATGTTAACTATATTTATAAAAAATGTGACATAATTATGTAATTTAATAAAATGACAAATGTTATGACTATTATTATATAATTCTAGAATAATTTGACGATTATTATTTTTTTTTAAATACTTTAAACTTCAATTTGACCTTCATTTTCAATTAATTCATTGACTTTTCAGAAACAATTTTTTTTTTTTAGATTTAATTATCATTATAATGATATTTTAATTAATGGTAATCAAAATGTGTATTTAAAAAATTGACATTGCTACGCCCTTGCAGGGTACATGTTTGTACATGTACAGGGTACATGTAAACTACTATAAGAACTATTATGTAACAACATGTTTTGCAATAAACGTTAATATTATTATTATTATAATATAATGGATTAACTTATTAACTGTCTTACCCTAAACAAAAAGCTGAATCCGAAATGCAGTTGTTCAGGTACCAAATAGTTCTTCTTGCCACGAATCATGAACGAGCCAGTAGAGAGATATTCCCCAGAGGGTGCCGACTTCGACACCTGGTGAGCGTGAACCCACCACGCACGGGTTAGTACTTTTGCTTCCCAGGCCACACTAGAAGTAATTTATTGTAATTTATGACATCCAATAAAATAAAGAAAATGCAAATTAATAATAAAACACAAATAAACCAGGGGAGTATATTTACAAAAGAAACATACGATAATCTCAGTACAGAGTACTAAAAAACGAACCTCAAAGGTACGTGGAATTACATCTATTTGCCAAGTTTTATTGAAATATCTCCTAGTTCGCCACTATACAGGACTTGACACTGGAGATAATAAAAATCGGTTCTCACTGCTCAAAGTATATTGAGAGAAAAATGCCTTGAATAGGAGAATAGCAAAACCAACCATTAAAATAATTGCTCCTTATAGTAAAATTTAGGCGCTATTTATAAAAATTAATGTTCATACGTGATCAGCCACCCTTAGAGGTGGATAATTGTCTTTAAAATGAAATGGGACCACTATGGAGGTACCCTCTTTCCAACAAAAAAAGAATCATGAAAATCGGTTCACAAATACCGGTGTTATCGCGTAACATACATACAAAAAAAACATACAGTCGAATTGAGAACCTCCTCCTTTTTTTGAAGTCGGTTAAAAATTATGATAGAACATCATGATATGCAATACATAAGTATAGCAATTAACACAGCGACATCTCTCGTCAGTTTCTAGTAGCTGTTAAGGTATCTGGCTGAGTAAATTCATAAGTTTCTCGTTTGGCGCAACGACAAATAAAAATCCGGTTTAAACAGCCAATACAAAAAGCTCATTTACTAGAAATTAGATAAGCTTCGGCGAATGTAAAACAAATTAGTTACAAAAGTGGTTATTTGGTACTCGCCGCGACATCTGGTGTGCCAATGGGTACTAAATATCCTTGTAGTAAAACAAATGTTGAGACAGATGAGTGGAGCGACGAGAAAGGATGAGATAAAGAATGAGCCATCGAGTATATAACCAGAAATAGAGACGAAATTTCATTTCATTTGTTTGAAAACTATTCTACCATATCATTACTGTGACAACTGCGCTCCGATTGGCCAGCTCGAGTTCGAAACGATTGACGGGTGTCGTCGATTGTTTCACTTCAAATCGACCAGTTAACTTGAGCTATGCTATAATGTATAAACTTTCTATTTGAAAAATGGTAGTTCAAAAGTGAAGTTATTATTCATTTATATTTCTATGACTTGCCTATGGTTGCATAGTGCTGTTCGAAAAAAAACATTCGGTTCAATCAATTAAAGTTTAGTGTTCGATTATTAAATCGAACATTTCAATCGCAATCGAACGAGTATCTAAGTGTAAGAATTTGAAGGAGAATTTAAATTGAAATTTTAAATATGGTTATGTAAGGAAAACCGCTAGTGTCACTCAATTTAACAAATCGATTAATTCAATAATTAATCGATTTGTAGTTAGCGTTACAATTGGCCATCACTAAACCGTCTATGGTCGGGTCAGTGACTTGCTTGTTTACTTGTTGTTCAAAATGGATTGAAACGAAATATAGCTGTAAAGGTCTAACTGGGTGACGAAATACTTAAGATTTCTCATAGATGGCGCGACGGCTAATAACGTCGGGCACGGTATGCTAAAAAACGTCGGTTCGAATCAGGCCGGATCAAATGAATTTTTTCTGAGTGTTCGATCTTTGTATTAACAATCATATCAGGGGAAGTTTGAAAGTGGCGCCAGTGACGGAAAAGTGGTATGGAGATGTCATGCGGAGGGAAGAATGTCATGTGAAGAGTATTAGGTATGAATGTGGAGGGATATAAGGGGACCGGAAGGCCAAAGAAAAAATAAATGGATCGTGTGAAAGGTGTGAGTGTGAAAATGACGGTTGATAGAGGAGAGTGAAAGAAAAATACTGGTTGTGCCGACTCCACCTGGCGTGGGATAAGTACAGGAAGAAGAAAAGGTAGTAAAAACATCATGATGTTCCATAATCTTTGACTCAGTTGTAGTTACACTGGCATACATTTGTAATACATGTGTACATTATAATCGAAGTGTGACAGCATACCAGGCTGTCATAACATACCTGTAGGACACCGCGGCCTGCCCAGCTTCGGCGAGAGTTTTGGGCGGGATTGGCCCACCACTAGGGTTCTTAACGATGACAGAGGACGCGCCTGTTACTTCAGCGTGCACGTAGATGTCTGTCGCCCGCATGTACCGTTTTACGAGTAGCTCGTTTTGCTGCTGATCGCGACCCGCTATTACCTGTGGCAATTAGATATACTTTAACTGCCTCTGTGGCCTAACGGTTACCATGCTGGACTGCGACCCACAGGTCGCGGGTTCGATTCCCGGGACGGGAGAAATATTTGTATGGCTTACATAATAATATATAATTATAATAATTATAATTTATATAGTGAATAAAACAATAGGAAGAATAAAACATAAGGGTGAAATTATGGTACTAAAGGTTGTACTTGTGACGGTGTGACCTCCTTACACCGCCATCTCACCTCTTTGTATCGCCTCTCTCCGCTTGTATCCTATCATTTTTTATTTTACACGTATTTAAATTTTAGAATTGTTCCATCTTCCTTTACTTTCTCATTATGTTTTCGTACCACGGTCACTCCCAGCTCGACCGCCACAACAGTCGGAGCTGTTCCAAATTCCATCGCGAATAATCGCTAATTCTGGTTCTTTACTACGGTTATAATCATTAAATAAGCTAAATCATGTGTAACATTGACTTACAATTATATGGACGTCGGGTCCGCGCTAAAAAGTGTCCGCACTTGTAAGGCGCTAAAATCGTATACAGAGCGCCAAACTCCGCTTTAGACTTCATTCATTCTTTGTTCGACTGACAGCGCGATACTGCGATGACATTACAATTTAAATTTTGAATAGGTTGACTTGGGACATTTTTTTCGTGGTTTTTGTATTAGACCCGTCGTCCATTTATTTGTAAGTCAATGATGTGTAATAATTTATAAGTCTACAGCCTTCGTGTACCTATATCTGTAATTCAGTTACTCGGCCCATTTAGGGCCCTTTCTTTAAACTTTACGTCTTTAATAAATTTTGTGGACCGGAAGATTCCCGTTTCATTGCCGTGAACCTGTTCACGGCTAGTTAGGGTTACAACCCTTTCATACTTATGCAGTTCATGATAAAAACTTACCAAATAATTATCCGATGATATAAACCAGAAGAATTTTTCGAACCAATAAGTTTTTCTAGCTTTGGTGATGTTGCTGATAGTGTTAGCTTCCTTCAGCGTCTGTTTCGTCTTTCGTTCGGCGCTTTTTAGCGCTTTGTCTGATGAACTTAGGGTCTTTTGCTGTTTTTTCGCTGCGTTGCGTTTTTGGTCGTAGTATCTGAAAGTTTTTGATGAACCTGAACTATAGATCTACAAGTTGACACAAGATGGCGCTCAATAGACCATCAACGAATCCCGTAAAGAGCAGACAGTCTCCTCTACATCTATTGTCTAAACATAACCAACACCTATGATGAGCTTTTCGTAATTACACATTTTCATTTCTGTATCTAATTCATTCAGTTCATCATAAATAACTATAGAAAAAATCGTTCTACTACAAAGTATATATATGTTTTTAGTACCTAATATTTCGACTAAATTACTAGGGTGGAAAAATGAATTGAATGAAAAAATATTCAACTCAAGCGCAGCTATTTTGCATGACTTAGCCTTCACTGATCACGCGCAGTAAAAACGTAATCAACGCTTCTATTTTTATTAACATGTCCTTTTTGAAGACGGAGTAAAATGACATTTGCAGGGTTGCCAGTTTTAGTAAAATTTTAAATAGTCATGTAGCTGGTGTCGACAGTTTTATCGATAGATTGTGAAAGAAGGTAACATTTTGCCAAAAATAGACATTTCAGACGAACTGTGAATGTTACTACATTCTAATGACCACTAATTGCGCTGTTGCCTTCTTTTTCTAGTAGTTTCGACATCAATTTTTATTCATATTTCATATGCATTAAAATATGTCTACTCTTTGTATTTTTAACAATTATAATTAAAAATTTTGTGTTTGTATGAACTTACAAAAATACACAATCCAAGTGAACTTGTGCCCAAAACGAATAAAAGGGTCGATGATGATCTAAATTATACAAGGTCGACTTTTTATTGCATCAGCGTAATCGACATTCAATCGATAGCCGATGGAATATTTATCGACTGCAGTCATTTTACTCCATCTTAAAAAAATACAGACGAATATAACAAAAAAAAATTTATAACATCAAGTGACGGGACGAACAAGTCGTACGCCTGCTGGTAAGCTACACGCCTGTCCATAACAGTTGCAGTGCCACTCAGAGCTTTAAATTTCAAAGATCTGAGGGGCACTGCCACTGCGCCCGTCACCTTGAGACATAAGTTGACAAGCCTCATGTGCCTGTAATTTCACCAGCACCCTTTCCCTTCAAAACCGACAAAAACAAGGAACTCTACTGCTACTAAATATAATAACGGGTCAAACTCACTTCCTGGCATTAGCGAAGGCAGTCAGCGACAAATCAATATCCACCAGCATGGGTTTCAGCTCTTCGTCGCTGTCCTCGTAAGGGTCAGTTAGTAGCAACGTGATGTGGTTTTTGTTCAGTTTCATCTGCTTTATGCACGAGGCTATTGGGTCTTTGTTGTCTTGAGCTGTTTGTACGAGGAGCTTTATATCGTCCCAGGACATCTGTAAGGTTATATGGACGCTGATATGCAATAACGTGACAACCAATATAATGACAATTTTGAAAAAAATGCGCTTTAAACTTTTTGACACTGGCTTTTGTTTCAGAATTTATTTTTTTACAGATGTAATTAAAACCATTTGAAAGATGTATGTCATATACATTGACTTACAAATAAATGGACGACGGGTCTAATACAAAAACCACGAAAATGTCCCATGTCAACGTATTTAAACGTAGTGACATGTAAAGGAATATGAAAAAGCTAAACGTTGAATTTAAATTGTAATGTCATCGCAGTACTGTCTAATTTTGCTTGCTTCGCTGTCTGTCGAACAAACGAAGACTAAAGCGTTAATGACGCTCTGTATACGATTTTAACGCCCTATAAGTTCGGACACTTTTTAGCGCGGACCCGACGTCCATATAATTGTAAGTCAATGGTCATAAACTATACATGTTCTATTTAATTCGGTTGATATAAAAAAAATTAATATATGTAAAGTTTAAATACAGCCTATTAAATACAGCGGTTTTCTTGTAAAATTTCGAAGTTTGTGTTTTTTTCTATAGTGACAATTTTTTTCACACCGTATACTAATCAGTGTGCATCCTCAATTTTATTATATATTATTTTCAAAGTGATCGACTATTAAAAGAAAGCTTGTTAATACATAAAATAATACTATGATAATAGGTATCAAAGTTACCTACTGGGGAATCGAGAAAACAAGTAATCTTCGAGAATTTGTGCTCATGTCGTTTCCGTGATATAATACCTTGATTTAGGAGGATATGAGCCACTTATCATAGACACATACATATAAGCAAAGTTTGAAGTCGGTTCAATTTTTTCATAAAAATTATTACATTCTATTAACCCCTGAAGGGTTTGAAATGTCTGACAAATTAAAATTATGTAGTTGTAAACAGTCTTGACTAGTACAACATTATTTTAACTTAAGACCTTACCCGAAAAATTTAATTAACGACAACTACAATCAAAAACAGAGCCCAGAACATTGGTGAGAAACTCAATACCAAATTATGTTATAAATTCGTAACATCGTAACGCCATCTATACGTCGTTGAAAGTGCTAGCTCACCTGGTTAGCAATAGCGGACTGTATTGCCATCCTACATTGTTCGACCAGTTGTTCGTTCCTGGTGATCATCTCGGCTGCTTTCTTATCCTCGATCTGGGCCTTCTCCAATTCAGTCAATCGCTTTTCGTGATCCTTCCGGACGTTCTGGAGTTTCTTCATTGCTTCTCTTTCGATTTGAACTGTCTGTAAGGTACACGTTGTAAGTTTGTAAAAATACGACGGTATTGACCG